CAATTTATTCTCAGTTTTTTCTATGGGCTGTCAACTTCAATTATGATTTCCTAGGGTTACAGCAATGGACTGAACCTGGAACCTGGATACATACAGTACATTGGGTCACTATATTGAAATAAATCTACAGCGAATAATAGCAACCCAGATGAGAAATATCCACCTACAAGACGAGCTGAAACTGCTGTCGTCTCCACCATCTTGAGTCATTCCCGCTTCTTATCCACTAAGTTGTCGCTAGCATCTCACATCTCTCGCGGGTGTTTTCCTTTAAACATGGGGTTGGAAGCTTAATTCGACCTCTGGGGATTTAATTCAGCAATATCAGCAAGTAGGAATTCCCCACGGGGTAATAAAGGGGCATTAAAGTTTAGATTCAAAATGCTTTGGTTGTATTATTGATTAGTCACGCTTGACATACCGTTCTGTTGTGCTACCAACCAACCCTAATTACTAATACCAATCCCTTAAACCTACTAGGTAGGTAAGAGGATGAATGGATTAGTGGAAGTTACCGGATACTCCAGTGGGAATAACCAACAAATCGTCCATTGAAGTAAATATTTAACCATACAGACAGATTTCCATATCTGCACACCTTTTTAGTCTCTCACAACTCCGGCCACCTCCGACCCTGTGCTCTTAATTACCAAGATGCCTTTAGAACTTCAAGAATTCGATCCGGAAACTGATTTTCCAGCGATCGCCAGATGTCTCTTTGAATCGTACGAAGATCCACCACAGAAATTCTTCCACGTATTCTTCCCAATACACGGAACGGGTGAGAAGGCTCGCGAAGAAGCCATTGAAGAAGCCGCTACTCGTCTGAAGTTATGGCATACTCATGACCCCTCGAGCCATTGGCAAAAAGTGGTCGATGCCGACACCGGCAAGATTGCGGGTGGTGCGCTCTGGAATATTCATAAGGAGAATCCGTTCGCGAACCCCGCCGCTGTACCGGTAACTTGGTTCCCCGATGACGGTTCGCGCCGGTTCGTCGAGAAGGCTCTCCAGAACCACGCAGGTCCTAGAAGTCGGGTTGCCCAGAAACCGCATGTCTGTGAGTAGCTCCGGCAGTCTCATTTTCACATGTTTACTAATGGCCAAGACCTGTTCATTATCTTCACGCACCCAGCCTACCGGCGCAAAGGTGTGGGCCAACAGTTCATGGACTGGGGTATGAAGAAAGCAGATGAATTGGAATATGACTTCTTCCTGGACTCAACCCCATATGGAAGACCTCTATACGAAGCAAATAACTTCGTTTATATTGAAGAGAACGTCAATATACCGAAAACCGACGCTCCGGATGAGAAATGGAAAGAAATGGAGGATAAAGTGGGACCATTTACTTTCTGGCTCATGCAGAGGCCCGTTGGTGGGAAGTAAGAAGGAAGAGCGAATTAAGTATGGCATAGCCCTCTAGGTGGCGACGCATATCTTATTTCAAAAAGAGAGTCATCTCGTTCACTGAAATTTCTTATCGCTGAGCTCACTACTACCTACCAATGCCTAATCGACTCCCCGATGAGCTGGTGGTCGAGAACAGATGATAGACCTCTCCAGAAGAAGCGGCTTTTCGATATAAATATCGTAGCTATAATACTTATGTTACTTGAGTAAATTACCTATACCTATCCTACCATCTTATGCTGAGCGAACGTCTAGATATCATATCAGCTTAACACCAGGCCATATAATGGCTATGTCCATCATAAGTCCGGTCGCGCCAGTATTCGCCAGCATGGTGAAATATTCATGCTGAGGTGATCTGGAATTGATGTTTAATATAAAAAATCGAACCACACAATGGGGATGACCTATGCGTTATGTACTGCCAGCCCGGTCCCAAAGCATTCACATCGTCAGAGGAAACCCTTAGGTGGGACATCAACACCTTCTGCCATCAACACATTGATCCGGCGTAAATCTCGTAATGAGGAACGTATTCGAGCGAGCATCCATCGGACCAATTAGGCAGGCATTGGACATCACATCAATACTCTCCACTGGGAGTGGGCGTCAATCTCGCCAATGGGAAAGTTTCCTTGTATAAACAGGATAATTCTGGGACATATCGAATATGAAATTTCCGTAGTTTTGCCATGTTTGTTCGTCATGTTGCTTGAGGCCCTTGGATTTTCAGGTACATTATGCACCTTTTCGAGGCTTGCAAGCATACCACGATATTCACGCTATCCTCCCGAAATCGGTTTCCGATGTCCATGCTTAGGCAGCTTCCTAGTTCTATTAATCAGGATCTTCTAAGCCAAGGAGGAAGTGGTACAGCACCGGTCCCCGGAAAGTGGCCAGTCGCCAAGCCTACCTACCAACACGTGAAATGGCATCGACGCTCTTCTACTATCCACTGCGGAAAATCCTCGCGAGAATCAGCAGCGCCTTTTTCGTTTAGCTCGTATGAGTAACTGAATAAGGATAGAATTGCAGTTAACGCCAACACGGGTCGTGCGTTCCGAAGGAACGACAATACCCCGACCAACCGAAGTGGAAGACCTGGGACAGGCTGATTGGTCGTCTGGGTAATTTTCGGGCGGCGATGAGACAATTGCGGAGTAGCCGGTCAGGGACGGCAAATTATCGCGGAGTAGAGACGGGGAGGATATGAAAAATTCAGAAAGGAAAATGGACGATTTAGGTAGATTCTATCCGATCCCATCCGGTAGCTAAGCTTAGTGTTGATGGGGCTCTTTTCTAACTAATCCCATTGCCGGCAGTCGACGTGGAGATCGATTCTTCTTGCGGGGTAGAAAACCAGGTTTAAAATGACGATGGCGGCTTTCCCCATCAAGCGTCACGAGGTTTCTTGTTCGTAAGAGAGTGAGTTGACAAATGGACGAATATGACTTACCCCCAGTGTTACCTAGTAGTCTGTAGAATAGGGCCGACATGGCCATCGCCTAGGTCCCTATATAATCACGTCAAAAGACCTAAGATACTCACATTCCATAACGTGTAAAGGGAATGTCATGAAGTGTTTCCGTCCAGCCTTCGAAACAATGGCACTTTCAAATTTCATCTTTCTCGTGATGGTAGCTCATCTGAGCCTCTATGTAGGATGGGCCCATTCGAGCACCAACAGCACCGGAGGCGAGGTGGACCTCACCAAGCTCCAGTCATTTAGCTACAAGCCACGAATTTTCATAATGTCCGACATCTTGAACGAGCCAGACGATTCGATGTCCCTTGTGCGCTACCTCCTGTACTCAAATGAGTTCGACACTAGAGGAATCTGCGCGACTACGTCATGGTGGCTTAAGAACGCGACGCACCCCGAAGAGATGCGTAAGATCATTAACGCATATGGAGAAGTTGTCGACAATCTGAACCAACACGTCAACCCAAATGCATCGTACCAAAGTGCTGAGGAGTTGCTATCACTTGTTACTTCGGGACCTGCTGTGAGTCGATCACTATCCTTCGGTCTATCTTTAATGATGTAAACAATCACTAACAAGATCATAGACCTACGGACACACAGCTTTGAATCAGACTGTTAGCGAAGGTGCTAAGCGCATCGTCGCCGCCCTGCAGGAGTCGGAAGAACCCCTCTTTATCACAGGTTGGGGCGGAACCAACACACTCGCTCAAGCGCTTCTTCATATGGACAAAACGCTGTCTCCTTCCGAAGCTGCGAAGTTGAGATCGAGAATCAGATTGTACACCATATCTGACCAAGATGACACGGGCGCCTGGATTCGTGGCCGATATCCGGACGTATTTTATATCGTATCCATCCACGCCTTCAACGATTATCAAGTAGCAACATGGCCTGGAATGAACTTGGTCACCACTCCCGGCGTCAACGCTACCATCGTCCAAAACCCGTGGCTCGACGCTAATATTCGACTTGGGCCTTTGGGGGCTATGTATCCTCAGATCATCTTCGGGATGGAAGGCGACACCCCCAGTTTTCTATGGTTAATCCAGAACGGACTCGTGTACAGAGATCGCATCGATTGGGGAACTTGGGGAGGGCGCTACAATCTCCCAGAACCCCAGGTAGACTGGACCGCCGGGGTATATACGAACCACTTCGTCGATGCGCGAGACGCCGGTGTGATCGGAATTGACGGAAATAGCTACGACTCAAACCAGGCAACTATCTGGCGTTGGCGTACGGCTTACCAAGATGACTTCGCGGCTCGGATGCGATGGACTCTTACGGCCAATTTCTCGGAGGTCGGACATCCACCCGTACTTAATATCAACGGCCACCAGGGCCCGGACCCAGTTATCATAAAGACGAAGGGCAACGAGACGTACACGTTCGACGCAGGACTCACATATGACCCCGATCATCCCTCCGATAATAGTGGTCTGGAGTTCCAATGGTTTTTATACACAGGAGCAATGTTCTATACGACCGAAACTCTTACGTCGAACTTTACGATCACGGCTCTCGCGCCACCAGAGGGGTCGAATGGCAAATTAGACGTGAATGATGCCGGCTTCGCTAACGTGACGCTCGGCCCCAAAGTTCAAATTACTGTACCGCCGGTATCATATAACCCGTATTCGGGTCTTAACAACACCTTCCACGTATTGTTGGAAGTTGTCAATAAGGCAGGGCTATATCCGATTAGAAGATACCAGAGGCTCATTTTCGAGTATGAGAGCTAAGCCCGACATTGCCTTGATGTGTCGTAATAGAGGAGATGTAGGGATACGCGACGAAAGGAAGTGTTGAATTTGAAAATTAAAATAATAAGATTAGATATAGCATATGTCTGAAATTGATTTTATTAAGAATATCTTATGCTATTGAGTGTTTCCTTAAGGACCTGTTAGATTGTTAATAAAACTTGAGAGTTAAAAACATGAGGGAGCATACGTCATTTTTGTAGGTAGGTGCCTACTCAGGATCGGTGTCAGTCACGTGATATATCTAGACCCAGATTGGGTCGACCAAGAAGAAATGGTTATGTAGTATGATAATTGAAAATTTAGTCATTGGTCCAAGTCAAGGCCAAGCCAAGCAAGGAACAGTAGCTCAGAGGTAGAGCAGCGGACTGCAGTTCCGAAGGTCGCTGGTTCAATTCCGGCCTGTTCCTTCCGTTATTTTTAAGTTGCATACTAGGTACCTTCCCGACTTAAAGCAATTACTCTCTTTTTTTCCTCTTCACTTATTACTCACTGTTCGCATTGTTCGACTTTCATAGACTAAGTTTACTTCACTATAGATTTTCCTACTCATTTCAAAATTAGCGCCCATGCTACTTCTATTTTCCCATTGGCGATGCATCCTATGCGGGTCCCAATATTAGATGATTCTTCACTAATATTCTTCAGCTTGTACACATGGTTCTGTCATAGGAAGGACGTTGTTCAGGGAACATACACTGAGGTCATATATGATCATTAGGCATATAGTCAAGGTAATGCAATAATATGACATGATTTAGGTACTTAAGATTAGGTAGTTGTCATGACTGTTGAGTTTGTGATATTCACTTCTGTGATAAGGATCCAAGATTTCGGAGAGTGCGTTATAGCATGTGCGTTTGACAAGCCAGGAATGAATTCTCGTCAAACGAATTGCCCGGATCTTATGAAAGAACTCGTATAAGACATCTTCAACTAAAGATACAAGCGGCTATTTTCAACTAGATATCTACCTAGGTAAGTACTTAGGTACTGTTTATATATAATAAATAATAAAACGTCTCGTCTCATAATTCAAAGGGTGAATCCAGACATATAAATCAAAAAATGCATTGTATGAAGTTTTTTTCATCCGAAGTCACAAACACATCGATTGAAATCAATTAAGGTTCATTCAAAAAGTAAAAGGTGCATTGGTACCTATGTGAACAGTTGATTGATATCATGAGATTTCGCAGTCACAATGTACTTGTATGAGTGCCAGTGCATTGGCCGTTATTTGATCAATATGGCATTTTTAAGTGCTATCGTTAGCACCTGAGTTGGGAAAGTACACTGCCCCGATCCAGCTTCGGCGTGCTGAAAACAGTATGGATAGGGGATTAGTCCCCACTATCGTGGCCGAAGTGACTCAACTACCGAGATATTCTGTAATTGTCTACCAAAATGTACTGTTGCCTGACATTCTTTCAAAACTTTATTCTGTGATTACTGAATACTGGTCATTTGTTCCTTTCGAGATATTTCCAGATTTAAAGTAAGGGAAACTATTTAATTCCATTCTTCCCTTCCTATTCCATTACAACTTATCACAAACACACACCAGCTCTCGCCAACACAACTGGTCACAAGCTACCTCTTACCCCCAAACCCACACTACCAAATCTTACAAGAGTACCGTGGCATTGAAATAAATTGTGCCTATTACTATCCTTCTTTTACCTTCTTTTAATTTGAGACTCACCTTTTGGTGAGTTGATATCATCACATTGCCAAGATGCCTCCCGCGATCAATTTGCGGCAGGGTGCGTCCAAGGACGATGCTGGCGCCCTTCTTCGACAGCGTCGGCTTCTCATGGACATCAAGGAACTCGTGGAGAAGCCGTACCCTAACATCACTCTACACACCTACGACTTCGACCTCTCCGCAGCATGTTTAGTTCTCACTCCTGAGGAGTGGAAACCCCTTCACCTAACCGTCCATTTCTCTCCGAACTACCCCGTGGATCCGCCCCGGGTTAAAATGGACTCACTCGTCTTTCACCCAAACGTGTTTGACGGCTATATATGCGCGACAATCCTACGTCGCACTGAGGAGCACACGCCCGCCTACACTCTCAAGGGCATAGCGATGCAGCTACTGAGTTTCTTCTCTGGTCGCTACGTCGAACAAGAGGAGGGCGGCAAGGAAGATCTCGAAGACTTCAGGTAAGTTGCGTCCTACTTTTCTTCCAATACTCAAATAATGCTGACTTTATCTATTCAAGAGAGTTTGATGAGGAACTTATCGACAATTTCCATTGCCAGTATTGTCATTTTGGGGGACGGGATTATCGAAAGCCTAGTCCTGCTCCACGAGCACAGAAGTCAAGAAACCGTTATGATGCGCGTGTTGATACTGATCCGAATGAGTGGCCGGCGCTCTCGAGCTCGAGTGGATCATCACCATCTCCAAAGGCTTCATCTGAGTCACAATTCCTTCAATTGACTCAGCAGAAGATCATGACAACATGCGAGATCGACCGTCTACCGAACGAGTTAATCGTGATGATTCTAGAGAAGTTAGACTTCGACCAGCTGACGAAGTTCGCTGCTGCTTGGCCACGGGTCAGTAACATCATAAGAGACTTCGATATTATGAGGCAGCGCGAACTCCAGTGCTACTGTTTGAAGCAGGACTACCGTTCTGTCAAGCTTGGTGTAGGTGTATCGATCTACCGCGGCCAGATTGCTTCGGAGTTCGATCTCCTATCGCAAGATGCTTATAAGCACTGGAAGATTCGTCGCGCAGTCAATAACATCTCCTTCGATCACTGGCTGCCTTTACCAATCTCCCATCAGCACTGGAGAAGAGTTAAGGGAGATGTCAAGGGTGTTCTAAGCACGATTCAGTCGAAGATCAAGAATGTTGGTCCTTTTGGAGAAGCTCAGGTGCTCTTCACGTTCATGAATGACGTGGTTGTTCGGCTCAATCAAGTAGCCGAGTCTAAGAGAACCGACTCCAGACGGGATAATCCTCGCGATTCTCGCAAGAGCAATCTTCGACACGCCTCGGAGAAGGCCATTGACTCGTACTTCCACCTTTTCCATCTACTGGTTTGCCTTGCCACGGAAAACCCCTCTTTGGTGGAACATGCCAATTCGCTTCTGCGAACCTTTATGGATGGCAAGCAGTCTAAGACAGACTGCCCTAACCTAGGCCACCTACTTATCGCATTGCTGATTTCCGACATCGAAGTCACCGACGCATTGCGAAAGGCTATTATCATTGAAGCCATCACACGAAACGTCGTTTGGCTTCTCGACAGAAAGGGCGCTGGCATGGCCGAACTTTCGTTTATCGAACCGGGTCCCGTGTCGGCCTACCGTCTCAACAAGACCTTTGAGGGTTCTCGAACTTCTTATCGTCTTTTGATGTTCTCGGAGCTGTTCCGACGCACGGCACGACCATCCCACACCAAGCCCCTAACCCAGGTTCGCGACGAACTATTCGAGCGCCACGGCGCCCCACCCCACAATGCAGCGCAGGAATTGTCAGAAACAGTTCGACGCCTGCACACTATCAACGACTTCCCAGCTTTCCTTAAGGAAATGGGCCTCCAAAAGATTCCTGATGCACGAACATTCACAGATATACTGCGAAAGACGGTGCTCTCGAGTATGAGCAAGGGATACTCAACCTGGGCCATGCCGTCCAAATACGCTCTACTGATGCGAGTCAAGAAGGACAACATCCTGTGGGCGAATCGTCGCCTCTGGTTGAGTGGAGATGATGCGCGTTGGTTGAATGAGAATTGGAAGGCCAACCCGCACAGTCGTTGCAAAACATTCTTCCCGCATAAGGGCAAGCCGCGAGGACCTCGTAACGGAGGTACCTAAACGAGTGGCCCAGGATATCGAGCTGGAAAACTGACGAACAACATTGAAGCCATTGCGAAAGCAGTAACTTTAGTTTGTCATTGCTTGATTCCCAAGAGCTGAGGTGTGCATTATGGAATATTAGTGTAGGCGCGCGGGAATATTGTGCCTATCGAGATGAAGTTTAATCATCACGAATGAATAAAAATAAGTAAATTACAAAGCCCGAAGACTTCTGAATAAAAAGTCCCCAATGTCCCAATTGTGACTTGTTGATTCCAAATTCCCCACACTTGGTTCAGCCCCTCCCCCTTTTTCCCTCCTTTTATCTAATTCAATTGTTACATGATAATTGCTATATAGAGGATCTTAGTCAGATTATCCTCTTTTACATAGATATATACCCCTACTTAAGCATAATTATTCATATTACATCAGCTTCCAATTGCTTTAGCGAATACTCGGTGCTCAGGGGTGAATAATTTTCCCGGAAGGATTTGGGGATTCCCGCATAGGTTTAGCTCCACCGACACTCACACACAACACGATCTCTCTCTGCATCAAATCGAACGACAAGTACAGTAATACGAATTAAATCAGCAGAAACATAAAAATGACATCAAGCTTAAGTCAGCTACCTATCAAGCCACTTCAGCCCGGGATAAACTTCTCGGGGCTTCCCGTGGCAGCCAGGGCGACGATACGGGGCTGAGGTCAGCTAGGGGTTATGGAGTAGCATCAGTTGCACGCAGGGCTTAGTGACTGACTAGGCCTAGCCCCATTTAGAACACAGGGGATGGGATGGCTCGGATGACGACACTAAATTTTTGCCTCCCAGTTGTAATCTCGATTATAATTATAAGATTCATCTCGTCGATAGTCGTATACCCCAGTTGTGTCGAAATAGCGCTATGTCGAGACTTCAATTTAGACGAATGTTGTCGTAGTACACTTTACGCAAACACACTACAATCATCAAGTTCGCTATCGCGCTTATCGCCAAGACTCGCTCCACATGGTGGCCTGGAGTACCCGTTGTGCATCGTGTCGGCAGAGGAAGATAAAAGTAGGTCTTCCGATATAAGGCATGAAGTTGGCTTTACCTAACTGTCAGTAGTGTGATCGGCAGTGGCCGGCGTGTGGGCAATGTCAAAAGGCGAAACAACAATGTTCAGGGCCACCGGATAGGGTGAAGTTCGTCGCAGAGAACGTGGCGGAGAGTTCTACGCAAGTGGCCCTAGTCAATCGGTTGGGGTCACGGCCAAATTTCCGAGTCCCTGTGAGGGGACAACCTATTATACCTCCTTCGGTGCCGTCGAGTCAACCGACGTTAGTAGGCGGTGAACTCGTTTCGTTATTGACGTCTCAAGCGAAAACATTCGGCTTCTCTAGCTTCGCGCACGTCCTACAACATGTCCCCGCTATGCTTGATGGGTCTCAAGCCCTAACGAGTGCCGTATCATGTCTATCCGATGCACGAAGACGACAATCGATGATCCCGAAACCCGATAGGAAACTCGATCTCAAATTATATTGCGCCGCATTACGTAATCTGAGGTTCTCCCTACAAGATGCCAACGAGCTGAATCGA